CATATGGGTAGTTTAGGGTTTCTGGCTTTTAGGGTATTTAGGGCTTAGGGTTTATAGGGTTTTTAGGGTGTTTAAGGGTTTTCAGGGTTTTTAGGGTTTTTAGGGTTTAGGGTTTTAATATCGGGAGAGCTAGGACAGGTTCTATAAGGGGGACCACGAGAGTGACTATCAAGGTTACAACAAGTGTTACTCTGGTATAGGCTTACTTGGAGGATCCTTGTAAGAACCCTTTAGAGGAACCCTGTTCTAATTATGAAAGCCCGTATATTAGACCCTACTTAAAGGATCATGGGACTTAGCAAGTAAGGTTATAAGTCCCTTAATAGTTAACCTAATCATAACCCGACTTACTAAGTCCCATGATCCGTTAAGTAGGGTTCACTGTAGGACCGATCAGGGCTGGGGGTTGTGGTTCAGAGGCGAGGGTTTGGGATTGGCGGACTTCTGGTACAGGTTGCCCTAAACCCTAAACCTCTAAACCTACGGGCTTAGGGTTTAGTGTTTAGGGAACCCTAAACCCTAAACTCTAAACCCTAAACCCTAAACCCGAACCTCCGAACCTCATCTCCTATTGTAGACGCAATTTAGGAAAGCAACACCCTGCTGAATCCTCGTAACACTGGGATCCATGTCAAGAACCCAGACCCAGAGCCATGATTGTGTTAGTCTGGGCGTTTCAGTAGTGTAGGGACCTGAAAGATTACCTATACTATTTTGGGGGTTCCTTAAGTATATAGTATCATGGGCCCCAAAAGCCTATTTTAAGTTTTCAGGCCCCTACATTAGTACCATGTTGTACCCCTTTGCCGTTTGTATGTTGGGATCTTCGATTTGGAGGCGGCTGATGCCAGACTTAGTCATCCCTATTCCCCCTAAACCGGTTTTGGGAGCTGAAGGGCCTAGGATTTTCTGGGTATGCGGCTTAGGGCTTTTAGGGTTGAGGGCTTACGGTTTTGGGGTGGTTGTGGTTGTTGGTGTTGGTGGGTTCCCGATATCAGTGTTGTGTGTGTATTGCCCCTCCCTCTGTATTTGTGAATAGCCTTGTTGTGCTATACAACCACACCGCTCTTGTGCTATACCAATGCGTACACCTGCTTGTTGTTGCTACTACCACAAGCGTTGTAGTATTCATTTTCGAATTCTTGTCTTGGTTCTCGGTTGCACGCCTTCGCCAGTCAGCCCTAACCCCTGAACCCCTAACCCCCACACCCCTAAACCCTTTCAAACCCCTAAAACCTAAACCTTAAACCCTAAGCCCTACACCCGAAATCCCTAACCCCAAATCCTAAACCGCCGAAGCCCTGGCCAGCTAAACCCGAAGCGGGGCTCCGAACCACCCCGACAGCTTGTGGTTATCCCATCCTATCCTTGACAAGGCCTGAATAAAGCCTATGCTATACTGGCTTCTAATAATTTCGATAGGGTTTGGGGATATAGTATACCATATCTATATATCGGGAACCCCTAGTGAACGAATTGTTCAGGCTTCTACATGCAGCACCTTTGAATACCCCATGCCCCAAATCCCCAACCCTAAATCCCTAAACCCTAAACCCTAAACCTTAAACCCTAAACCCTAAACCCTAAACCCTAAACCCTAAACCCCAAGTCCTGAACCACTAGGCCCTTAACCCCAAGCCGCTCTGAAACCGGCTTTGAGCCAGGAAGTCGCCCGAATCGAGGAGGGCTTCCACCGCCTCTCCGTGCGAGGGGAGTGAAGCCCTCAGCGCTGGGACTACCCATAGGCCCTAAAGTAGTTCCTTTTTGGGGTTCATATATAGAATCCCATAAGGTAGTCCCAAAAAGGAGCTATTATGGGGCCTACGGGTCGCTTTAAGGTTTGAGAGTTTAGGGCTTTTAGGGCCTTAAACCCTAAACCCTAAATCCTAAACCCCTGTAGGGGTTTAGGGGTAGTCTGGGGCCTTAGGGTTTTGGGGTCAGGGCTTTCAGGTTCTAGGGGTCATATGAGTTAGGGCTTTAGGTTTAGGGTTTAGGGTTACGTTAAGGTTTAGGAGCACATAGTAGCAAGGAGCCCTGGCAGCCCAGTTCGCTTTAAAGCTCAGGTAGACACCAGTTGCGAGCTAGAGCTCGAAATGAACGGAGTTTTGCCTAAAGCCCAAAAAGCCAAACCGTAAAAACTCTGTAGACCTTAAGCGAGACCCTAAACCCTAAACCCTAAACCCTAAACCCTAAACCCTAAACCCTAACGAGAACCGGCAGAAGATGGATTACTGGAAAATGGTGTCCTGAAAGTTGCAGCCGGCGATGGCAGAAGGATCCTCTTCCAGAACCCCCACACGGGTCGGTGGGAGTGGTGTAGGGTTTAGGGTTTAGGGTTTAGGGTTTAGGGGTATTGGGTTTAGGGTTTAGGGGTATTGGGATGACTTCGTCGGAGAGTCTCCTTTTGAGGATGTTGGTCCGCCAACCCAGCACTAGCGAGCGTCCGAAAGGGCGTTCAGACGGGTCAGACAGGCCTGCCAGCATGGTCGGTCCGTGCGTCCTCTTTATTTGATCTGATTGAAGCATTTATCCTAATAATTCTAGCATATCTCTACCTCGACCCGTGACATACTGGCACAAGAGAGGCTCTAATATAAGGGCCTTAATAGTCACCTATACTACTTGTGGGGGCTCCTTAAGTATATAGTATACCCCAAAACCCTACTCCAATTATTAAGGCCCTACGTTAAGGACTGCAGGCCTGCCACCCAGCCCGAAATTCTGCAGAGACTGCATCCTGAACCTTACACCCCAAGCCCAAAAACTCTCTGCCCTGAGATCTACCTCCCACGTATTTGAGGGGCTTTGTGTACCATGGACTCCAACTAGGGGGTATGTGTGTTTAAAGCAACAAGTATGCAGCCGCCATGTCCTTTGAATTCGAACCCTAGGAACGAAGCGCAGGCGAATCTCAAAATCCTTCCGTCCGACAAAAGATCAAAGACTCCAGGCGTCAACTGACACAGGGCTTCGGTATCTCGTAACAACGTAGGTACGCATAGGGAGCATGAGGGGATTGCATTGCGAATTAGCTCTCAAGTGTTCAGATCCTACATTCGGACTCCTGACATGCTTCCAGCAGGAACTACGCCAAGAAAACAGCCCGAAACCCTAAACCCTAATCTAAACTTAGTTGGAAGTTCAAGAGGCCGCGTGAGCACTTAAGCGGGCTTATACCTAATCGCAAGTATAGTCACCTCTTCAATCGAGTCTAAACCCTAAACCCTAAACCCTAAACCCTAAACCCTAAACCCTAAACCCTAAACCTTACTAGGTCCTGCGACCCTCAAGCTCAAAACCCCCAAGCCCCCAAACCCCCCTAAACCCTGGAGGCTCCAAGCTTCGAAGACTTGAATCAAAACCCTAAACCCTAAGCCCCGCAACCCGTCAACCAGTAAACCCGTAATGCCGAAACTCTATATGGGCAGTTCTCTATATTATTATGGTCCGTTGTAGAAGGGTGCCGTACTATTTTGGAGAACCTAAAACGGGATCCGAATTTAGAGAACTACCTATATAGCTTAAACCCTAACCCCTAAACCCCAAAACCCTACACCCTAAACCCCTAAACCCCCAAACCCTAAAACCCTAAACCCTAAACCCCTAAACCCTAAAACCCTAAACCCTAAACCTTAACTCCTAAACCCCAAA